ATTCCTTTTATTGTTCCTAAAGGCGTCATGGTTTTTCCATCTACTCCCATGATTTTTGTTTTTGCAGGTTCATCAATTTCTTTATTGATTTGCCTGAGATACCACTGGGTAATGATACTTCCTACAGACCCAGTATCAACTAGAGCATTTACAGGATATCCTTCCACTTGGGCTTCGATAAACAATGCATCCTTGATAGGTTCATCACGTGCTGTATTACTAGTAACTATTTGTTCCTTTAGTTTAGATGTGAAAAGTTCTCCATATTTGTTATGTGTTGGTGTTAATTCATTTAGTCCAGCCATTTGTAAATATTCATCAAATTCAAAATGTTGCCAATCACTGTGCTTGGTAGGTTCAGTATGTTGAGGTATTTCTTTATTCAGCTTTATTTTATATACGTCACAATTATACGTAGGGTCATTTAAAATATATTCTAAACGATCTTCATTCAATTGTATTCCAGTTTCCTCGTCAATTTCTCGAATCATAGCCTTTAGTGATGATTCTCCTATTTCAACTTTTCCGCTGACCGTTTGCCATAAATTATACATTTCCTTATTTGGATCAATTCGTTTTGAAAGATAGATTCCTTTATTGTCATATAAGATTCCTAATACGTATTTTGGCCTTTTCTTTACCGTGATTTCTCCTTGTTGTTGGAGGTTCACTGGTTTAATTGGTTGGTTTTTATTGAAAATTCTCTCATCAGTCAATGGATCTTTCCATTTTACTTCCTTACATTCACATCGCGCTGCTATTCCTTTAGCGATCTTGTTACAATTCGTACATACAATATGACTGTGATGGTCATATTCTCCACAGCTGAAATGATCATATTTGTTTTCATATGATCCTCTAAATCGCATTTTTGGATTCATTCCTCTGCATACGTAAAGTACTTCTATTAAACTTATCTTTGTTTTTACTTCACCTGGAATATTTTCATCTATTTCTTCCTCTTCTTTTGCTTTTAGGAGTTTTAGTTTGTTCGCACACTCACCCCTAAGAGGTGCGACTTCTAGTTTAAATGCTGCTGGTTATTACTGTTATTACTATTATCATTCCTATAATTCCTATTTCTACTATTACTGCGATTACGATTTCAATTATTACCATTATTTTGAAAGTTTTGACCTCGATTGTTATTGATACTTCTACAGTCTCTAGCAAAGTGACTAAATTTTTCACAGTTAAAGCATTCAATGTTTGATTGATTATTATTATTCATACGTCAGTTGCTTCTACAATCTCTAGACAAATGTCCAAATTTTCCACAATTAAAGCATTCATGTGGTCGTTGTTGTAGTTGTTACTGCTGCTGTTGTCGTTGTTGTTGCTGTTGCTGCTGTTGTTGCCCAATATTTACCATAATCGCTTGTAATCCTTCATTTAATTTGCGATTAATAATACTTTCAATATCTGGTTGTTGTGTAATGTATGTGGGTTGCATTGCTACATTTGTATAGGCTGGTACCATTCCTCCTTATAATAATTGCATATAATTAGGCATCAGCGAATAAGCAAACAGTTCCATTCCAATAGAATATGCAGATTCTGTTGTTCTGGCCTTTTCAATTATCTGATCTACTGTTATCGGCATTGCTGTTTGTACTGGTACCATAAATTCTGGTCGCAACCCTTCAATAAATTCAGCAACTCTGTCCATCTCAGCACGCCTATATTGTGGGTCAACTCTTTTTCACAATTTTCCTATTGCTGCAGCGTATTCTTCAATAGTTTCACCTGATTTCTGTTTCCTATGTCTAAGTTGATGCTTTCATTGATTTTGTCGAAATGCATTGCAGAAATGTTGTTCAAATAATGGTACGAAGGAAGTACCAGGATTGATTCTGCTATTTCAGTTGGTAATATATTGTCGTTGGAACCATGTTAGTGCTGTTCCTGTTAAATAACTGGGAACTATTTCAACCATTCGGGTGGTATTGATACAATTTGCTTTGCAAGCTCGTTCAAAAGCCTCGAGCCATTCTACTGGATCCTGGTTTCCTCCTTTAAATATTAGTAGATCTACTAGCCGTTGTTCTCTTATTTGTTATCCTTGAAGCCATCCTATTAGACCTTGTATAACTTGGAGGTAAGCATTGTCATTGTTTCCTCCTACTGGTACTATAACTGGTTGAGATGCAAGTATTGGCTGAGAAGTATTCATACTACTTGGTGGTTGACTGCTGGCTATTGACTGAGAGCTTATTGTGCTAGTTGGTTAGGAACTACCTCCCCATGAGTTTGATGATGATCGCGTATTATATGATTGAGCTACCGTTGTTGATTGTGAGATTCCTTTAGTAGCTACATTTTGATATCCTATTGTACTACTTCCTCCACTACTTGAGTTATTTTCAAGCCAACGGTTATTCACTGGTTGCCAGTTTGCGGTTGTGAAGCTAAAAGTTGTAGATAAAGTGTTATTTTGAAAAGGATCCAATGGTGCCAAAGGGTCAAATATGTGACTATATTGAGATGCTCAAGAAAGGTCGTAAGGGTTTTCCCATGATGATCCATTATTTATATTTCCTACTGATGGATTTGTTACCCTTAAATTTGATGGTTTTGACGATTGATTACTGGCTTTTAATTGTTGAATGTTTTCTACCCTAATAGGAGATGGAGACCTCCTATCATTAAAAGCAATTCAAGAGGCTATTGACTATAAAGCTGAAGTTTATTTTGAAAGATAAATTGAAAGACAGGAATGTCAAGTAGATTGAAAGGCTAGAGCTCCTACTGATGATACCCTTGAAGCATTAACTAAATAGATGGAAAAGTTAACTCTTAACTATGCTAATATAGTTTCAGCCTTAAATGTTCAAATCCAAACAAGATCTAATCTACAGAACAAAAACCAGATAAATCTCAAATCACTTGTTTTAATTGTCAAAAGAAAGATCACTACTCTAAGGAATGTAACTTGCCTCCTAAAAGAAAAAGGATGCAAATATAGTCAAAGTTTATTCTAACCTTGATTCAGAAGATGAAGAAGAAAATTATGAAAAGGTTTATGCTACTCCAAAAGTAAGGGTCACTCCATATACTACTAACAGGAGAGGTGCCAAAGAAAAAAGTAAAAGGATGTTTGAATCTCAACAAGAAATGAGATTAAGAAATAGAAATATAAGTAAACCAATTCCTCTTACCACTTCGATAGATATTGAAAAAGGAATTTCAACTTTAAAGGTTAAGAAACCTTGAAGAAAAATATCACGCATCTCCTTTGCTATTGACTAATTAGCTTTTTATAATGTTGCTGAGGATATTCTAAACTTACCTTTGTCTGCAAAACTTGGATAATAGTTAAAATATCTAGATTAAAGGAGAAACTTAGCTAATGCTTTAAAAGAGCTATCATTAAGGAAACTAATAATGTTAACCTTGATGACAAATATATAAGTGACAATAATAATACTCTTATAACTGCAGTCAGATATACTATTCAAATCCATCATAGCAATGTGCAAGCTATTCTTGATTTTGGTGCAGCTATCAGTATTATTACAAGTAGTTTAGTCAAACGACTTAAATTAAAGATTGATGAACCTGCAAAAACAAAAATCATGGGAGTAGATGGAAAAACCATGACGCCTTTAGGAACAATAAAAGGAAT